ATATACCCAAAATACCCACTATTAAGAAACATAAGGGATCTATTATTAAAGGATACTTGGGGAGTCCTGGTAAACCCCTAAATTCCACCAGACCCTAGGCCGTACAAGCCCTAAGCCCCCACGACCTCAAGCGTAAGGCTCCAAAGCCTTTCAAAGGGTCTTAAGGTTTAGGGTTTAGGGTCTAGGGTTTAGGGTAATACACCCTTCTAGACCGGTTTGGGTTTTAGGCTGTAGTTTGGGTTTTCGGCTCTAGGGTTTCGGTTTTAGGGCATGGTTTAGAGTTTCAATCCCTAAACCCCTAAACCCTGAACCCTAAACCCAAACCTCTCAACCCCAAGCCCCGAAGCAGGAAGTTGAACGCCCAGAAGCAGCCCTTTCTGGGATCCTACTGGTAGGACTCCTGGGGGTTTAGGGTTTAGGGTTTAGGGCCTATGATGGTCTAGGAGGTAGGGTTTACATGCCTCTAGGCAGGATTTTCCGGCGTCCCGTAAACGCTACACCCTAATCTGACCAGCACCCCCCCAAGTACCCTTTAATGGAGCCGTTATGGAGTCCTTCATAGTGGGTATTTAGGGTATATTAGAGGGTAGTTGGGGGGTCTAGGGACCCTAAACCCCTAAACCCTAAACCCTAAACCCTAAACCCTAAACCCTAAACCCTAAACCCTGAAGCCACGACGAGGTCACCACGGCTGTAGCCCACGTCTTAGAGCACAAGGCCGATGCCGATCTCATGCGCTGGCAGGCAATCTCAAGGCGGGTTTAGGGGTTTAGCGTTTAGGGGTTTGGGGCCCTTTGCCCTGTCTGGGTTTAGGGTTTAGGGTTTAGGGTTTAGGGTTTAGGGTTTAGGCGTTTCGGGTTTTGGGGGTTTAAGGAGTTTAGGGGTTTAGGGTTTAGGGGTAGCACTTAGGGTCTTAATCGGTTTAGGGTTTGTAGTTTACCCTAAGGGTCCAAGTACCCAACAATCAGATTCTCTTCTGAATACTAACCTACAAAACTCACTATCCGCAACCCAAGTACATGGGGGTTTCCGAAAACAGGGGACCCTGATATAGTACCCTAAATAGTAGGATCCTTATTATAAGGACCCCAAAATAAGGTACCCCTATTTTCCGGAAACTCCCACATGATTATTAGGCCCTAAACCCTAAACCCTTAGGGTTGGGTTCGGGTGTAACTCTTTTTAAACCTGCGCAAGGACGAAGTCTCCAGACAGTCTACACGTACATCCCATGCGGGAGTTTCCGAAAATAAGGGGCACTTTTTTGGGGGTCCTTATAATAAGGATCCTACTATTTAGGGCGATACCCTATTTTGGGAAACCCTCCATGTGTGCAGGTAGATTTCATATTTACATACACTCACATGTGCCCATGGACCATGAAGTAGCAAGGAGGGTGCCGACCTCAGGGCAGAAAGGAAATGGCGAAGCCTTAATCCTACAGGTTTACACTTTAAAGCTCTAGTAAGGTTTAGGGTTTAGGGTTTAGGGTCCGTGGAGCAACCCTCATCGTAATCCGTATAGTCCTAAACCCTAAACCCTGGACTCTGGACCTTTAACGAACCCTGAACCCCCCAAGCTTTAAACTTTCATCCCTACATCAAGCATTTAAAAAAGGGTCTGAAGGGCTTTAGTAATTGCCTATATTTAGGGTTTAGGGTTTTGGGGGTTCCTGATTCAATGATAGTAGAATATACCCCAAAGCCCTGTTCTAATTCCTAAGGCCCAGCACCCTCCAAGTACCCTTTAATAGAGCCCTTATGGTCCTTAATAGTGGGTATTTTGGGTATAATAGAGGGTAGTTGGGGGGTCTAGGTGCTGCTCTAAGGTTTAGGGTTTAATCGGGAGTCGGCTCTTGGGAATAGGCTTAGGGCTCGTATCTGACAAAGCCTCTACAAACCCTCAGGCGCGAAATCCCTCCCCCCTCCACCCTCCGCCCCAAGAGGGTTTAGGGTTTAGGACTTAGGGTTTAGGGTGTAAAGCCCTGCTACTGTACAGCCGCGCTACATGGATGAATCCCATGCGCATAGTCCCCGTCAAAAAGGATGAACTTCATGCACAACAAAGCCCGTCGAAACGGATGAACCTCTTAATCCTTAGCCCTAACCTCTAAGCCCTAAGACCCAAGCCCTAAAGCCTAAAACTAAAACTCTAACCCCTCAACCCTAAACCCTAAACCCTAAACCCTAAAACCCTAAACCCTAATTCTTCAGACCTAACCACCAGCTCCTTTCTTCTCTCTGCAGGGGCTCTGCCGAACCCTGCAGCTTATCCGAAGCCCCGGTGG